CCAGATTCCACCGTGGGGACAGGAGCAACAGCCCTGCTGGACTTCACAACGTATCCCACTGCAAGTCATATCATAACACAGACCGAGAAATCGATGTACCGATACTGAGTTGCTGTAGCTTCTGCATACCAAGCAAGAGACTTTGGGATAGTACCACCAGAAAACTCATCATATTTGTGAGCAATGCGACTCCATCGCGGCTAGGGCATAGCTTATTAACAAAGAAAAGAATTCTACGAAAATACTGCATCTCGATCGAAACCATAAGAACGCAGCAAAGTGAAACTATTGTGCGCACAACTCAACCACAGTTGGCCTTCAAAACTAGCTCATACCACATTTCTTGAACACCCTTGGAATTCCACAAACGTACACTGTGTAATGTTCGTTTCATCGGGAGCTTCGTATATGTTTGTGGCCACGTGAGAGGTCCCAATCTTGTAGAGCTGTAGTAGGCCCCAGTTCGGCAACCCCGACCCCGCGAGGCAGCGCCTTGCCGATTCCTAACAGGAAGTTGCGCTCTGCGTAGCAGAAGTGGCGTTTAAACAAGCCAAGCGGCAGAAATATGGACGACCAGCCACACAACCTAACTGAATGGGAAACACAATAGCTGAGTGGTGCTCTAAGTCGCACAATTTGAGCTAGTAAAACTATCGTGAATAATAGTAAGACCAAATCTTAATAGTGCTATACATTATATTTTTTGCTGAAGTAGAGGAGCACTATAGTACCACCTAGGTGGGACTTATAGTGACTAAGCACTTGCCGGCTGAGGATTTCCTCAACTGACAAGCGCTGCGATGTAGACCAACCCCCTCTACTCTTCAGCCACACTCTACTATCTGCCTTGAAGTAAGACTCTGATTTGATATTCGACTAACTGACATGGTGTCGAGTTCCTAAGTCTGTAAGACTAAACATTCTCCACTGTACGCTGCTAGGGAGTTTAAGGCTAATCTCTGAGGTAGTTGCGAAATGGAAGGAGGGAAACAGTCGGAGACTCGCAAAGTTGGCCCACCGGTGATTTCACTGCGGTAGTCGGCTCTTTTATAATACTGATAAAAATGCTCACAACCTGGATGCTGACGAGTTAGGCACCAGGTAAATGCACACGAGATTCCATATCGCTGTCGAGCCGCTCGAGTAGTTCATCGTCGAGTACTCTTGGCAGGGGGAGTTCAGGGATGAGTTTCTTTGATGGGCATTTGAAGCTGTTTGTAACGTTATAGATCTCAAGTATATGTATATGATGTTAGGAAGACTCAGTAGCGTACTGAGCCTTCCTAACATCAACTTCATGCTCGATCTCGTACTGACAGTACGAGATCGAGCATGAAGTTGATGTTATGATGATCACTGAAGGCCCCGACCAAGTACAGGCCGAGATGGGCGGCTTCGGTGAATATGTTCCTGAGAAGTGCAGGGTTCGCAGATTTCATGAAATGTAGCAGCTGAAATTTCAAGCTTGAAATTTCCCCTGAAATTTCACTGAAATTTGGAATATTGTGAAGTTTCAAATTTTTGGGCCCCAACTCGATGCCGACGGCATCGAGTCGACGATGGTAGTGGGTTCGAGTGTCGAGTGGTAGCGGGTTTAGTTGTGCACCGCAGGCACTACGCATGAGCTTCACTATGAGAGTACTGGCATGACTGCCCCGCAAACACGAAATCGAAGTTCCGAACGACGAAGTCGATTTTCCTAATCATAACCAAAATGAAGGTCTGAAGGTGTACTCGACGAAATTGAAAGTTCTATGACGAACTCGAAGGTTCAAAAGTCGAAATTAAAAATTCTATTAACAAGAATTTGAACTTCCTATCGACTTCGGACGAACTTGAATGCTCCATGACGAAGTTGAAAGTTCTAATTGCGAATATGATCTTTCCGTTTCCGATTCGTACCTCCAACAACGGGCGTCCCGACGAAATTGATGGTTCCAAAGACGAACTAGATGTTTAAAAGGTATAGCCGTTCTTCTCGAAGAGAATGATGTAGTAACTAATGATGGTGATGGAGTTGGACCATTGTGGATCTTGACCAATGGACCAATGCGTGGAGGGCCTCCACTGGAGGCTCCGTCGATCACCCAAGCTTGATGAGAAGTATCTGCCAAAGTTTGAGATCCGGCGAATGATGAAGCTGCGCAGCTTGCGCAGCGCAAGCTACAGTAGCTTAGCTACTGTAGCTTAGCTACTGTAGCTACAAGGATGACAATCAGATCTATCTATCTATCTGATCTATCTCGTAAATGCTGGATGATGTTGGTATTGGTAGCATTTTGGGGGGCGGAGAGTCCTGCGGATAATGGAACGCGTCCAGGTATGACAAATGTTCCGGTTAAGATGATGCCTTTATTCGAAATGAATATTGAGTTCACCCTGAGTAAGGTCAAGGTGGTCTCTACTAAGTAGAGTCTACTTTCTCTCCCACCCCCACTTCAGGTTACGCTGAGGTTGAGGACGAGTATGATATCGTTTTGTCTTCTGATGATGTATCAGCTAATGCTGTGTTGGACCTGCAAAAGGATACGAAGTGTGAGCCTGCCTACAGTTAATCGGGAGTGAATGCAGCCAGAGCCTTACTTCGACTACTAGCAGATGAGGGTCCGTCACGAGTATTAATGGTTGATCAAGGCTTGAATGTACCGGAGGTTCTGGAAGCTGCTGAAGAATGGAATGTGATCGTAAAAGCTGGCCGGGCCCACCACGTGGAGAAAAGTTGAGAGGATGGGGTGAACGGGCCCATAGGGATGTGCATGCTTTTATTCGTGGATGTTAATGGGATCTGGCTGATGACTATAAGCTCCTTCAGAAGACGAAGTCCAACGTAGACTCGACAGAGCAGTCACTATTTTTAATATGACTCCTTATGTTGATGGCTCACCAGTGGTGGAAATGGCAGAGCGGTGA